TTCTGCCTGGTACTGCTGGGTAGTACTGCCATGGGGTAAAGAGGACACAGGAGCAAGCAGGCTGAGGGCACTGCACATATCTTCTGCATCCAGGAGAGAGAACTTTGCACAGGCAAATGGTGAAGAACAATACAGACTGAAACACGTCACTAGGGCCCACCATGAGGGGCTGTGCAAACCCACAGTGGAGTGCCCCCAGCAGGGGCAGGCAGGCACATGCACCAAGGGATGAGAACACGCGTATGTGTTGCACCCAGCACTCATCCATTCCTATTCCCCATGCTTGAAATGTTTATTTTTATAACACTTAAGAGAACAACCTGCATTTCTTAGATGAGACACTCCAGAAGGGCTTTGAAGCAGCCAAAGTTTCTGTTGACTTTTCATTTCGTTTCCCAAGGAACCAGCTATTTTGGGTGCGAGTTTCTCCAAGCCTGGCTGCATACTGACTCACAGTCCCACAACACCAGAGTTGGGCGAGTCCCTCACAGCACTCACAGCAGTGGGGAGGTTATGTCGTCCAGTGAAGTCCTCCAACTCCATCAGAGCTGGATTCAATGGCTCAGGGTCAGACAGGAGGTTAAACACGTCCCCAGACTGGGGCCAAAACTCAGAAGTTGGCCTTGGATGAGGTGGCACATGTCCCTGTGTCCCAACACTGACCTAGTGCTCATGTCCTGCACACGGCGGTGGTGATGGCTGCGTGTCCCTCACGCGGTACTGAGTGGGTAACAGCCATGGCCAGGAGCGTTTGCTGTGGGCAGTGCGTGGCAGCATGCCTGCTGGCACTTCTCTGGGATGACGGCTCTGCTTCAGTCACTCACGGCTTGTCATCTCGCCAGGATCTCTCGCCTCCTGGGATTAACTTTTGGAAATGGCAGCTGAATGCCCTGTGAGCAATGTCCCTTCTAGGAAAGTGTGTTAAACCTGGACCCAGCCTGTCAGCTGGATTTCAGGGTGAAATCTGATGTGTTGACTGTGTCCACCTAATGAAAGAAAAAGAAGAAAAATAAAAATCCTACCTGCTGCGGTATCTGCTAAGGTCAGGATGGATATCTCCTGACATGAGGTCTCATGGTAGGGACAAGGAGGTAATGGGAAGCAGCCTTTGGCTCCAGAGCTCATTCCCTCCTCTCCTGCTCCTGTTACATTTGTCCCCCTGCTCTCTGTTGCCACCATGCTGACCCACGTGTTCCTCTCTGCACTGTTTGCTTTTACTGCTGTCTTTACCAGGAGCTCCAGGAGCTGATTCACCAGAGCACAGAGCTGCCACAGAGGCAGGGACTGACATCCTGTGGCACAGAGACTGCTCTGGGGCTGAACCAAAACGAAATCATGGTCCTCAAATTCACAGCAAACTGTTCGGCCAGTCTCTGGGTTTCACTTCCAGTTTGGCTTTCTTCAGGTGTATGCCATTGTTCTCACGTGCTTCTGTGATGTGACTTTTGCTTTAGATGGATAGCTCCCGTCATTTTTTGTCCTTTGGGTCTGCGGGACCCAAAGACAGGTGCTGGGTGAGAAGACCCTTGTGTGTCACAAGTAGAAAGCCTTGTGCTCTGCCTCTTCACGGTGCTCTGCTGAGGCTTCTGTTGTACCCTGCTCCAAAAGCAAATGTCGACGTGGCAAAATAACCCAGGATTCGCTACCCGTGAGTCGGGCTCCTCTCATGGGAAGCCTGCATCGTTCTGTGGGTTGCAGCCTGAAGTTGTTTCTCATATTTTGCTAAGTCAGGGCCGGCAATGGAGAGGAAGAATATTTAATTATGGAGGCTCATTTCACATACAGACATCCGACCCGAAGGCACAGAGAGCCCAGCGTGAGGCAAATAAAATTCCATCAGAAGGCTCGATTTCCCAGGTCCATACGTGGCTGGCTTGTTAATGCTTTTTCTCAGAAATCTTTATTATGGAGCACAGGGGCGTGTGCTGATCACACGCTGCTTCTTGGAACTTGCTGGGAGGCGCCGCACTGGGAGGTAGCTCAGGACAGGACTCTGAACAAAAGGTGTTGCTTAAGCATTTTCCAGAATAATCAAGCACTTGTTATGCAGTCTGCTTAATAACCTGAAAGAAGGATCCTTATCAGGAGGCTCCACATGTTCTAGCTGTTAACTGCTTTCAGTATTCATATAAAAGCTAGCAAACGTGTCCATAAAAATAAAATTACCTCACAGAAGACGGTATCACCGAGGTCTGCCTGCTCAATTAATTGGAAGTTGTATTGTTTCCTGTTAGTAGGCCTTTATATCTTTTTACAGGGCTGCTGTGTGCCCCTCAGGATTCAAAGGGCAGTGAATGGGCTGTGTGTGCTCAGTGCTGTTCCCACCACAGTACTCTGAAGATGAATTGAGGTGGTTGGCTCGGCCATGCCAGCTTAGGCCAAACAGCAGCCCTTGGAAATTGGGGGCTGGGTTGTATGTGCTGGGAAGCACCGTGTTCAGGCAAGAAAGGTATAAAGGACCAGCAAAAAACACTTTCTGACTTTCTGGAGTGGGACATGACAGAACATATTGCTGCAAAACCAAAATGAACATTGTTGGAACATAATAAGCTCCGTGTGCTGCTTCTTAGGGAATGATACTCAGCGTGCATGCACAAAGAAACCACGCTGCCCTGTGAGAATAACTGAGTGACTCCCTTAAAAAACCCCAAACTAGCAGTGCAACAATTGAAGATTACAGTCAGTAACAATAAGAGAGAATGATTGAGATTGCATTTAACGGCAACATGCAGATGTCCCGGGCGCTAGGAGGCTGTGCATGTTTTAAAGCCAGAATGGCTAACTCTGGGGCCTAACCTAGAGCCTCGTGCCATGAGTCAGGCTGGCTCACACCTGCCAGGTGGCCAACAGCAAGGATCCTCACCACGGGACAAAATAAAAAGACACAGTTCATCAAAAAATACGCCTGACTCTGGGTCTGGTCATGGCCAACGGGACGTGTGGCTGAGCTGTGCTCCCAGCTGAAGCCTTTGCTGCCTGCCCCTTAGCCTGCTGGTGGCCATGGCCGTGGGGTAGGTGTGTTTGGGGCTGGGCTCACGCTCCTCACCAAGGCTTATGACAGCACTCAGAGAGCAATGGCAGCCAGCAGCTGGGCAGCTGCATGCCCTCTCTGCTGAGCAAGCTTGCTGCTGGTTTGTGAGAGCTCTGGGTCAAGGGCTTGGCTTGTTCCATCCTCTGCCCTTTTCTGCTCCTCTTTTATTCTTCCTTTCTCACGACGCTGATTTTGAAGTGCAAAGCAGCACTTGAGGCAAAGAGGACCCCATAACCCAGAATGCTTTCTGCACCCACAAAAACCCTTTGCGTTTTATTGCCCCAAATTCATAAAGACTGCTTTTCAAAGGGAGGTAGTAAAAGTACCACGCTTCAGCAGGTTCCAATTAGAGACGGCCTAATCCAAAGCGCATTGAAGTCAATAAGAGACTTTTTGTCTCCTTTCTTTTGGGGCCTGGATCCAACATCAGTGTCAGAAATGGCATCTGCAGCACGTGCAGGCATTTTAATGCTGTCTCCATACAGAAGTGCCAGGAGCCTTCCTGCACCATCAGCTCTTTGGTAACCGCTCCGCTCCACTAAGCATTCAGCCCTCCCCGACAGCTTCAAAGGGAAATTACCAATTCATCTGTCTTACAACTAAGATGCCAGGTTCAGAAGTGAATTCGGATAAAAAACATCCTTATTTTTTTAATCGGGAAAGATATTTTGAAAGATTATTTCCATTTCCAGCAATTGTTCCTCTCTCTCAGGAAAGACACTGTGTTCAGACTAAAAAGAAGCCAAATTACTAGGTCTATTTTTAGGTCTACTTACCAAGTGATAGACACCTTGAAGGTCAGTCTTTTTCTCATTTAGTGGAATCTGGAAATTCACACACACACACACACACAAAAAAAAAAAAAAAGACTGTAAATTATTGTAAATTATTGTAAATACAGAAACCTATTAGGAACTGCCTTTTCAACTCCACTTCTGCTATGCCTCAAGATTAGTTTATGGCCATTGAGAATACAGAAGCTTATAAATAGTTTAGCTCTCAGAGCTTGTTTTTATTTCCAGTAAGAAACAAAATAGGCAGCATGACCATATTTAGAATAAGATCAGCATGCCGTTTATATTCTTTGAATATAATGTGACTTTTGTTTGTTTTTCCAGCCTTCAGCAAAATGTTTTATTCCATAGATCGATGGCTGTCGTAATGAGTCAAGACGGAAATTTCCCCCGCATCATCACGGAGAAGCAGCTCAAAGATGACTGCATTTTAGTTCTCCTCTACGCTCCAGCCCTGTTTAGATCAATGTGAAGCCTAATCCATGTGGTCATGAGGTCCTTCCTTTGTGATAATCCATGTTGCTCTGTGCAGGTGGGAAGTACTGCTCTTAGCCCTTTCCTATTGCTATGCTAAGAGTCTGCCTCTACTCTCCGAGTACAAAACAATTTTTTGTAAAGCCTACTTACCTCTGAAAAGTTAAATGGGATCTGAGCATCTCCTTTATAAGTCAAGGAAGAAAAGCAATGGATGCTTATTCCAGTAGCTAGAAGTCAAGCCATTCATTTCTTTAGAAGACCCAGGAGCCACCTTTGCTTTCCTCTCTCAGGGCACCTAAACACTGCTGCAAACAAGTACAGAGCAATCTCACCAGTTGTGCTCATAAGCCTTTTTTGGCTTCAGCTAAGAAACCAGGACACAGTTGAAAACACTTGAACTGCCACCAGGCGAGATGACCACTGTGGGGGCTGTTCCCATCACCATCCCTGGGGCAGGGAGCAGCTCCTACCAGCCCTGGGTTGTCACCCAAAGTGTGAAGAGATGGGGACACTCGCTGATAGAGCTGCCTCCCCCTGAACAATGCTCGAGTGCAGACTTGCCTCAGAGTGACATTTAAACAAGTAACATTTGCTCCCAAATTAGCCAGAGAAGAATAAACATTTTAAGATCTCTTGGCTGTGCTAAGAGAGAGAATGAGAGGCGTTGCTTTACATCTGAAGAATTAAATTGTCTTAATTACATCCTTGTGTAAAATAAAGCATTACATACAGAAGAAAAATATTTTTAAGTAGATGGAAAAATCCACTGGGTTAAAGGAATACTACTGTCAAGTTTAATGTGTCCCTGTATTTGTGTGGTGCAAAAACAAGCCTTAATAAAACTGAAGAGTCTAATAGAAACATTTCCATGAATTTAAAAATAACAGCAATGGAAACAGTCTCATAAAACAAGTAAACCTCTCCCTTCACTATTTGCAGCTCAAGTATTACAGCATTAACTTTGGGCCTGGGAACGTGAAAGCAGCTATAAATTATGAATTAGGTGCTTTGTCAGGATACCTGACTGGTTAGGAAGGCTTCTTTGGCATGAGACTTCGTACCTGTTCCAAGCTTTTTTCTTTAAAATGCTCTAAATATAGTTATGTGTAATCTGACATTGGCCTTATGAAAGAAGAATGTAAAACCCAAAGTCCATGTGGAGAAGAAAGTAGCAGGGCCCTGTGAGTTCACCACCCATCCTACTGCTTCACTGCAGACTGGTTGTACTGCCGCATTTGGGCTGTGCTAACTGGGGATGTCTCCCCATGCAGCCAGTCTGTGTTCAGACTTGGCCCATGCCGGCTCAGAACAAGATAAGGTCCTTGAATTTATGTGACTGGGAGCTGCATTCCTCCTGTAAGCCCTGCTTTCAGTATTTTGTCCCGCTCCACATCTCCCTCCAAGCTGCTGCCAGGGACGCCGCTCTGCCCCTCTTCCCTAACATGCATGTCACACCGGTGCTCATCTCATGGCAAAACAGGTTCAGAGTCCTCACACTCCTTTCTCTGCACCGTTGTCTACATGAATTTGCCAAATGTCTCTGTATTACCTCTAGGAGTTTTTCAACAAAAAGTATATGCTGGCATGAAAGCATCATAAACTAGTAAAATAAGTAACACGGCCTAAATTGATTTAAACTGTTTATTTGGGACTTGTTGATAGACTTAGACTCTGTAAATAGCTGTAATAGGATATGATTAATTAAGATCTGAATGAGGTATAACAGGATCATGATTTACTGAAGGTGAAAACTGTACACAGAAGACTACTACCAGATCACTTCCTGACCTGCAGCAATTGCCAGGACGTTTTCTCTCTTCATGCTTCTGAAAAGCAAGGCAGACAACGTCTCCTGAAAATGTCTTTGTTTTTCCTACTTTCCCATCTTTGGGAAATGGCTTCAAAAATCAGAGTAGAGGAAGAATTAAAAAAGAAAAAAAGGCAATAAAGCTCATTTTTTCTCTAGTAAAGATTTCTGACAAGCCTGTTAAGCTGTTAAATTATATGGAGCAGATCCTGTAGGATGGGAAGTTATTTGGCAATGACTCTGTATAGATGAAATGGTCTACCAGAACTTGCTCATAAATAGACCTGGAAACCCTGCACTCAAACATTGTTCCTCATTTACAGTACGGTAAAGTGCCCATAAAGAATTAACATGTATTTAGCCTTTTGCCATCAGGTCTCTAAGAGCAGCTGGTTGCTTCTGTTGCCTTTGCACACATGCTACAGTACAAAGACTCAGCAGACATCAGTTTATCTTCCAGTTTACTAGCTGAGACAAAGATGGGAAACTTAGAAGTCATCTCATTTCTTAGGCACCTTCTCTGCCTATCCTCTGGTCACTTTCCTGCTGCGTATCTTCCCAGAGAATTCCCCACCCACACTTACACAGTGTCTGACTCCTTGGAGAAACCTACACCTATTAAACTATAATGGGAAAAGACCTCACGGGCACACCAGGTTCCTGTTACTCCCTCTTAGGGCCAGTTTGAAAGGTAGAGTAAGGTGACAAGAAATGATATGTGCTAAGACTCTGACAAATGTGACACAGGTCACCTGCAACAGCAGTAACTGCTGTATAATCATTGCATTAGTAACAATGATTATTCTCATTTCTTACTGGGATATCAGGGAATTAGCACAGAACAGCAGTAAAAAAGGCATTTAGTCCATAGTGCAGAAAACAGGTTAAATCAAGTGTTGCTTCCACAGTGAAATGGGAAACCTTGCTGAACTCACTGCAGAGCCTCCTGTGTGCAAGGACTTTAAGCGTCTCCCTATATCCCCACTGGAATAGTACAAGAGCAAAGAAAGAGGAAAGAGTGATCCATTTTTTAATGCCTGCTAAAAAGAAACCTGGCATGAAAAAAATTACAAGTCACAAGGTGCCACAGAAAACTGAAATGTAGAAACTTAATAAAATCAAAGTTCTCAACCCCAGTTTTGCCAGTTTGATGCACTCTTCAACTCGTCTCAGTGATGTATGTAATTTAGCAAAGTGCTCGAAAGCTCCCAATGAATGGCAAGGCTTTAGTCAAGCAGGTACTGCATCACAGAAGGATCCACTTCTTCTGCCATCAGACTGGCTTGCAGACTTTGGATCGTTGCATTTTTCCCAAAACGCTGTCTCCACAGTACAAGTGCAGCTACTATCTGTGACTGAATGTTGTGAGGGTGATTGACTTTACATCGATAGATGTCAGTATGGGACAAACCCAAGCACAGAACAATATGCTCCCATTCGGGTCCCAATCTCCTTGCAAGCTTGTTCATCTGTTGATCTGTTGGTGAACTCTTCAAAATACATGGGGCAATTTCGGTTGCATCTGTAAAAAAATGCAAACACACATCACTAGGCAATGTTGCAATTATTAACACAGAACCTTAACAAGGAGAGAATAAGCAAAGCTGAGGTGAAATAATTTATTAATTTCAGAAACAGCAAGGACACTCAACCAGAAAAATGAATTACATAATCAAATACAAGATTAATTAGAGGAAAACGAATGCTCAATGGACCTTATTAGAGAGCCTGGAGCTTCTGAATGCCAATAATCCAGATATCAGAATTCTACTCTGACGCCAGAACTTTCAGAAGTAATTACAGATTCTGGGGAAGTGAACAAGAAAGGTTTTAAAGGAACATTCTTCCAGTAGTAGGCACATTCTGAAAATCAGCCTTGCTGTACAAGTACGGCAACGACACATCCAGTCCTGTCTCTCTGGTTATACACATCAGAAATAACTGATTCCTTAGTTACCAGAAAGTCTTCAGTCTCCTAGGATGCTGCTTACCCTTTGTTCGCTGTCATATATAGCAAAATCATCTTTGGGTGGCCAGCTTTGGGGGCTTTTCTTTTATTTGAATAAACCCTAACAATGCTAGGATTAAGAACTGCTTAGGAGAGAAATAGGCTCTTCTAGAATACAATTCGTATATTTGAAAGAAGATGTTTAAAATAGACTAGATGAATTACTCCTCTAAAAATGCACATTTCTCTCCATTGACTATAAAAGGAGTGCTGGGTATAAGCTCACATGTTGACGTCGATGCTGCAAACGCCCAGCGTTGGTGAAACAGTTCTTCGCCTGTAAATTCAAACCACAGACCAGTTGCTTTGAAAAGGTGTATCTAGAAAAGCAGCGTATCTGCAAAACATATTCACTCTCCTATACCTTTTGAGATCACAAGCTGAAATGAAGGGTCAATGCAAGCTGTAATTGCTCTACTCTTGTCACTGAAGATACTGCGGCAAAAAGAGCAAAAATAACCTCAGGAAAATGCTAATTATAGCCTGCCAATCTGAAACAGCAACCTCCCTCCAGAAGAGCTGCTTTGCAAAATCTAATTTATAGCTCCAATACCCTGCTCAAAGTCTCTGCCACAGCAGAACAGCAACACTAGAAAGCACTACTCCACTGTCTCAAAACAAAAATTGTTTTTGCATAGAACACCCAGAGCCTGCGAACATTCATACTGTTCAAGCCCAATCACACATGAGTGTTGTATAGAGCTGTTTTGAGTAAAGGCAAAATTGCTTTCTGGAGAGCACCTAGGTGTCACAGCTTTGGCTGGGATAGAGCTTTTTTTTTTCGTAGATGTTCATGTGATGCTGTGTTTTGTATTTTTGATTAAAACAGTGTTGATAACACACGGATGTTTCCATTGCTGTGGAGCAGTGCATGCACAGAGCCAAGGACTTTTCAGCTCCTCATGCTGCCCTGGCAGCAAGGGGCTGGGAGGAGACAGAACCAGGACAGCTGACCCAGACTGACAAAAGGGATGTCCCATACCATACAGCATCATGGACAGCAATAAAAGCCAGGAGAATGAAGGAGGAAGGAGTGGATTTTCAGAGTGATGGCATTTGTCTTCCAAAGAAACTATTATGCACGATGAGCCCTGCTTTCCTAGAAGAGGCTGAACATCTGCCTGGTGATGGGAAGCAGGGAACGAGTTCCTCGCTTTGTTTCACTTACGTACGTGGCTTTTGTTTTACCTAGAAAACTGTCTTTATCTCAGGCCCTTGGGTTTCTGCACTTTTCCCTTTCCAATTCTCTCCCCCATTCCACCTGGGGAGTGTGAGTGAGTGGCTGGGTGGTGCTGAGCTGCCTGCAGGGTTAAACCACAGCACTAGGGCCTCTCATCTCCTGGCTGCCAAAGGCACTGGGGCAGTGGCTGGTTTTTGGGTAGGGCACAGGTCACACAGCTTTCTTGCACAGGTCCCAGCCACAATTGCAAAGGTTGAATGTCCAGACCACCTTTCAGCTTCAGCGGCTTCTGAGACGAAGGGTTTGTGTCAGGTCAGTGGCTCCAGCCCTCATCACAGAGCTCAAGAGCACCTCACTTCCTCCCAGGAATGTATCTGCAAAGACAAAGGCTCTGTGGCATGCAGGCTGCACATTTCCTTGTCGATGTCAGCAGTGGCAAAGGAGCCTCCACAGCCTGCTACCCCAGCACAACTCTCCTGAGGAAGGAAGAGCAGCACCACAGGGCTGACCTCCCATTACACACAATGCCAGTTCCATGGGCACATCGAGACCACTGAGTGCCTGCCATGAACACAAAAGTGAACACAAGTATTTGATAATAAGTACGATTTACAATAAACTCAGCTACCCTGTGCTGCAGCCAACAACATTTCTTGCTATTGGACCCACGTACTGTCTCAGCTACTAAGCAAGAACTCCGTGCCCAGGAGGAGGACCTGCCAGCCCAAGATTTTTGCTCTCACATTGAGATTTTTACATCTCGTGTTCACTAGCAAAATGATTTTATGGTACTGAAATGTGATCAAGCAGGGAGGCCTAACAACAATATATGTCAGCTTGTCCATCCAGCCTTTGATATCAGGCAGATTTTTTTACTACAACAAGTATCTTGCCTTCAGCCTGTTATCAGCCCTTTAATAAGAATAAGAATAAAACCCATCCAGGAAATCTTTTCATCTTGGGCTAGCATCTGATTCCAATATGGATGCAGGAAATTCTGGGACAGGAGCCAAATGTTAAATTTAATACAAAGGCCTGTTACTTTAGTCCCATTTTATTTTCTGTGATAGCTCTTTTTCAGCTCACTTCTCACTGAGAAAAAACCAAGACAAGTATTACATGACAGGCAACATTATTTAGAGGTATACAGAAATATTTAGTGAGATCATTTAGTTATGACAAATGTAAAATAATATAAAGGTTTGGATATGATCTATGATTAATAACACTCTTAATTTAATAAACACAAGGGCATTTCAGGTAAAAGGGAAATGCTTTTTCTGTCCTCAGCAACCAAGCTGCTTTGAACACATTGCAAAAACATTAAAGACAGCTTGTGTTGGTTATTTTTACTGCAGACCCCCGCTTACAATCTGCATTGGTCAGAAGAGGCTGAAGGAGGTAGCAAGACTACAGTATAAGTTCCAATTATGCAGATGCTCTGACTGCATTTGAAATATACATTCAGAAAACTAAGACCTAAATTTGCAAAGATATGAAGCTTTTCTAGCTTTAGGTAGGCCTAATATGAAGATGTCCGTGTTAAAGATAGATACAGGCTTGTGGAATTCATACTGCATCGTTGGAAATGGGGAGAAGTGGGGCTTGTGGAGGGTGACCAGACTTGCGGCCAATGTGTCATTGGGCTGCTTGTTCATTATTTTGCTATAGTGGTGTGAGCTGTGTTTCACAGAAGGACATGGAAGGTGCTGAGGGGTATTACAGAAAAGACCATTTGCGGTGTTTCTACCTCCAGAGAGCAGGCTAAGTGAAAGACCACAACAGCTGTGGACACAGTCTGTTCTGTGAAGTGTCATGGCTGCATGCTGTGGAGATTGAGAGTCCAACCTTTCACTGCTCACACAGAAACCACCAAGCCCCTGAGAAATGGCAAACTGACAGCTCTGTGCTGGGGAGCACGTTGACTTGGGGCAGGGCTGCTCTAATGCCAGATTGCTGGAGCAGCACTGGGACCACAAAAATTCCTTTTCTCAGGGCTGAAAGCAGGGAGGATGCTCTCCACCCCGGATTTGGAGTTGGAACTGACCCAGAGAAAGAACTGTGGCTCCTCCTGTTCAAAGCTGCAGCACAAAGGGACAGGCTTCTCCCCTTCTCCACCTGCTCCTTGCCACTGGCTCTAGCTGGTCAAGGAAGATCATCCACCCTCAACCTTAATCCTAGCCATCCCAGTTGAAAACAAAAAGACAACATTGACAACTACCAGCCTGTATGCTTCTGGACTGTGGTTCAAAGTGAGAGACATAGCCACGCTAGCGAGTGTGAACAAGAAACAGATCTGGATATAAACAGAAATTACCACAGACAGGGACCAAACAAAACAGAGTAACCCAGATACCAAAAATATGTTTGGGGCAAAAGCATCCGGTTCCCACTTTGGCATTCAGTTTTCTTCGAGACATTCCCAATTTCAAGCGCAAAACTCCAGGATGTTGTAGCAATCAGGGGGATGGAAAAAGAAACTCACCCCAGCTCAGCCCCCCTTGGCAGAAGTGAGAGGATGTAACATAAAGTCCAGCAAAGTGAGCTTTGAATGTGGGAGCAAACAAGCCTGTTTCCAGCACAAAACACAGCAGTAAATAGCGCTGAGGTGTTTTTGGGTGATCTGCAAAGTGCCCAGCTGATTCCTCAGAACATCAGCAGCCTAAAGTGCTTTTGTCTGAAGGACCCTTTTCTGTGTAAATATGACTTTTCTGTGTGTGACCAAAAGCATCTGTTAAGAGTTTCAAAGATCCTTCTCCCTTACGCAGTCAATTCATTTTACTGTTTTTTGCTATCTGTTGTGTAAAAACTACTTTGATGGAAATGATGTGCCTGAATCCAAAGTACTGAAGAAGTCCCAATCAGCTGCCACCTAATCCTGGAGGACGACTCCATAGGCAGTTAAGGACAGAGTTAGGGAGCCAGGGATAACTGGGCCCACCTGTTATCTAACCCCTTGGGATTAAGGTTAAAGCTGCCCCTTGGGAAAGGATGTTCTGGGGACTGGTCTCTGCTTTCAGCACTGCCTCTGTATTTTTATCTGTTAAAATGGCCATGTGCACTCACTGGATAAGAAAGCAGAAGCAGTCCTGGAAGAGACTGGAATCCAGGTCTGAGCTGCACATCCCAGTGCTGAGCAGCATGATAAAGCTCTACTTTGTTCTTTTTCTCTTGATTAATAATTCCAGTAAAAAATAGAAAGATTTCCCTGTGAAGGGTTAAGAACGCTTCCTAGCCTCCAGAATAGAGACTCGTGGAGAGAGAGAAAACTCCTGGGAAGAAAGAGGTATGCTTAGACACAATAAAATCAAATGCAAGATCCTTGGCTGAAAGT